TCGTCGTAAGATGTTGACCGATGCTCATGAATTATTATCAAAGGTGGGAAAAAGTATGGATCCATCTGGGTATTTCCAAAATACTAAAATTATTGAGCATCCATTTAATATTAGTGATATTATTGCAACAAGGATGGTGAAAGATAATTGGAAAGATTATTTCTTCCAAGGGCAAAATTTAAAGATTGGAGAAGTTTCATTCATTCAATATTCCCCAACATATAAAACGAGTACACTTTTAAATATTTCTTTTACGTATAATACAGAGATTAATATTAAATCTAGCCTTGATATTAGTATGGCCTTGGCTCTAAATAAATAAAGTTTTTATTAACTTTTATTGAATGAAATCTCTTAGTTTCCCAAAAGAAGTGTCTTAATTTTAATGTATATTATTAGTGATTGTATTTCTTATATATTTATTTATATTTTATTTGTATTTTATTTGTATTTTAATTATATGTATTTTAATTATATGTATTTTATTTATATGTTTTTATTTATTATAATGCTCTTTCAAATAAATTATCATCAATTATACAATCTAATCCCTTCAAAGCATTTTCAATCAAAAAATTTTTTACCAACTCTGTTGTTATTCCGGCAATTTTAATTACAACTCCATTCCTTTTTTCTTTTTCTCTACTACAAAGGGAAGAAATTGACCAAGTTAAATCAATTATTTTATTTGTCTTATTTATTACTATTTTATTAAATTCATTCAATATGTGATCTATTAATGGAATCACTTTAGGTCCATAAATTATCAATGTTGCAAAACAATCGTAAGGCTCCAATCGATTCATTAAAATATTAATATTATTATTATCATTATTGTCATTATCATTTTTTAATAAAACTACATCACGAAAAATTAATTTTTCTTCATCACCAATTAATATATCAATTCCTGATTTATAATTGACAAATTCCCATCGTTCTCCTCTAGACATTCTTCCACTAGTAAACCAATCTAAAACTATTAGAGATGATGTATCATCTTCCAATTTGAATTTTTGATATTGTGAATAATCTGCTGACTGAAAGCAAGTAGTTGGTCCAGGTAATTGAAGTAACATTGAATTCTTTTGTATAAATGCAACAAGATTTTGTTGGGTAATATTCACATTATTATTATTATTTATTATATTATTTGATTTATTATTATTATTATCATCATCATTATTATTGTTGTCAAATTCATTTTTGGTTTCATTTCTGGTGATGGTTTCATGACTGGTTTTTTTTTTATATATTTTTGTTGAACCTTGTGTTAAAAGCATCAAATTTATATTTTGATGAATTTCAATATTGATATTAATGGTGTCTCCAGATACCATACCTCCTCCATAAGAAAGAATATACACAATAGCAAGAAAGGGTGAATGAGTTTTGGGAGTAAGAAATTTTAAAGGATATGAAGAACGAAGAGTGGAAAAGGCGGGTTTTTTAGAATTAATTGGAAGTTCACAAACTATTTGACCATATCCTTGTTGAGAATGTTGTTGAAGATGTAATTCCATTGTTAAAAAAAAAATTAATTTTAAATTAAATCAATTAATTGAAAAAAAAAAAAAAGTAAAAAAATAAATTTCGAAAACATTTAAAACATTTTATCCATGGTATTTATTTAAAAAATCTTAATAACCCCTGGAATCTTACCATATATAAAAAATTAGTAGCACAATTTGATAGTATTGTCAATTTTTGCAAATATGACTGACATTGAATTGCAACTTAATACAATTGCAGGGATTCCTTCACAAAAAGATAAAACGACCGAATATCGTTCTTTACTTGATTCAATACTCACTTCCTCAGCGGATGAAACAGTTTTAGCGAATAACTTGGAAAAATTTGTTGATCACATAGTTCAAGAACAAGTTGGTTTGGTAATTTCTCGTCAAGTATTGTCAGAGTTCGTCCAGGGTGTTGATAAAATTGAAAACTCCGAAATCAAAAAACGTGTTTTACATTTTGCTTTGGGAAAAGTTCAACCAAGAGTTGTTAGTTTTGAAGAACAGGTAGGTTTCGAAAGGTGTTGTACGAATAAATATTGTTTTTTTTTGTAACATTTGAAAACGGATAAAAAATTTTTTTAATAGATTTCAACACTTCGCGAAAAATTAGCTGAAATTTATGAGAATGAAGAAGAATGGCTTGAAGCTGCCAAAGTTTTACAAGGAATTCCACTGGATTCCGGACATCGGTAAAAAAAAAAAAATTTCTATTTTAAGTTATTAAATTATTAATTAATATTAATTTATAAATTTACTAATTGATTAATTGATTAATTTATTTTTAATTCATAAAAGAGCAATTTCGGATGAATATAGATTAAAAATTTATATCAAAATTGTTCAGCTTCAATTAGAAGAGGATGAAGCCATATCAGCGGAAACTTATCTTAGTCGTGCCGCGTTATTAATACCCAGTTGTAAAGATCAGGTTATTAATTTAACATTTAAATTATCACAGGCTAAGATTTTTGATTTCAAGAGAAAATTCCTTGAAGCCAGTTCGAAATATCATGAATTAAGTTATGTTCCAGAATTGGCGCCAGAAGATCGGATTAATTGTTTGTGAGTAAATAATATATAAAATTGATTAATATAATATAATATAATATAATATAAAATTGATTAATATAATATAATATAATATAATATAATATAATATAATATAATTTAATTTATTTTAATTTAATTTAATTTAAGAATTTTTCTAAACAAAAAAATTGATTTAATCCCAATTATTTAGAAATGCTGCTATCACATGTGCAGTTCTTACAGGAGCAGGTCCACAACGTTCACGTATGTTAGCCACACTCTATAAGGATGAACGAGTACAACGTTTACCACATTTTTCAATTCTCGAGAAAATGTATCTTGATCGTGTTTTGCGACCTAATGAAGTCAAAGGATTTGCGGAAACACTTAAAGATCATCAACGAGCACGTTTGGCAGATGGAACCACTGTTCTTGATCGTGCGGTCATTGAACATAACCTTTTATCAGCTTCAATGATTTATAATAATATTACATTTGAAGAACTTGGATCTTTATTAGCAATTACACCAGATCAAGCGGAACAAATTGCTAGTTCAATGATTGAACAAAATCGGATGCAAGGAACTATCGATCAAATTGAGAGATTAATATTCTTCGAAAGTAATTCATCATCAACTGGTCACGGGAAGGCAGTTGGTAGTGTTCTGGGAGCAAAATGGGATATGGCAATTCAAAATGTTTGTCATCATGTGGAAGAAGTAGTAATTGCAATTGGAGCAAAATATCCTGAACTTATGGGTAAGGCCGCATTTTAATTTAAGAGGTTAAGAAGGAAAAAAATTGTTTGTATTATATTTTTTTTTAAAAAAAAGGGAAATTGTTAAATTAATCTATATCACATAAATCTATCTCAATAAAAAAAAATATATGGGTATCACTAATTAATAATAAATTAATAATAAATTAATGCTAAATTAATGCTAAATTAATACTAAATTAATTAATGTTAAATTAATATAACTGTGTATAAAATTAGAAAAGTACCAGGAAAAGTAGACAATAAACACAGGTATAAAATCATAAATATTTATTGACTTGTTTCAGTAAGTTTTATTTAAACTAATTTATAATAAATAGTTTAATGAATTATAAATAATAAATAATCTCTTTTACACATTTTGCTATGTATAAATTGATGCAAATATTTTTTTGCTATTTTTCTATTTTAAGTATTTTAAGTAATTACTATCTAAGATTTTTTGAAAAAAAATTTTCATTTCTCAGAATCAAAAAAAAAAAATAAAGTAACACAAATATATTACATCTACATCTTCATATTACTTTATTAATTGTATTTTAATCTGTAATTTAAATTGTATTTTATACATCAAGCAAAAAAAAAAAAAGAAAACTTTCTTTTGCATCTATAAACATTAATTTAAATTAATTTAAATGGATGCATAAAAAAAAACCAGGTGTGGGATTGCTTGGCTTGATGCATATCATATATCATTATGCACCTAGATAACAACCAAATGCATCAAGGAATAACTTTAAGAAATATCCAATATTGTCACCAATGATAGAAAAAAAAAAATTAAAAATAGAGAGAGATACATTCTCCAATTTCCCAATATTTGGTTCCAAAAAAAAAACAGATAAAAATGGATGATAACTTGTATATTTATAAATCTTTATAGTTTTAATAATAAAAACGAAACGTATATATATATATAAAATATTCCAGTAAAAAAAAATGTTTATATGTAAAAAAAAATGAGAATTGAACAAAAAACTGGAATACCAATATAACGCACACATATATATATAATATATGTGTATGTAAAATGTTTAATATAATGTATGTTACTGAATTTCTACTTCTACTACTACCATCACCGAATACTTTTTTTATATGTTCCAAAATTTTTTTCTAAATTTTTTTTTTTTTTTTTTTTTTTTGTCGATGTATGTAAGAGTCATAAGGTTTTACATCACGGATAGTCCAATGTATAATATATATGCACAAACCCTAGATATGCTATATACGCATAACAACCTCTTTGGTACATGCACGCGTCTTCGTGTGTTAAAAAATCCATCATTTATAATAATAATATAATACCTATAACAATTTTTTTGTTGATATATTTTTTTTTTGTTGTTGATTTAACGATACGACGACGATGAATATAAACAAAAAAAATAATAAAAATAAATGCTTTCGTTTCAACAACTATATGATGAATATATATAGAAGAATGAGACTACTAATAAATTTTTAATTTATATCACTACATTCTTTCCTTCCTTCCTTCCTTTTTTTTTTTTTTTTCTTTTTTTTTTTTTTTTGATGCAACAAAATTTACAAATAAAAAAAAAAAAATAATTCAAAAATGAAATGATAAATAATAATAATAACGACGATAAAGATAATAATAATAACTTTAATAATAATAAATAGAAAAAGAATCAAAGTATTCAAAAAGAGTGAATCCCAAAGTGAATTATAATCAAAAAAAAAAAAAAGAAATTCAATAAATAGTTCAATTTTAATTCAATTCGACGATTCGATTTCAATTTCCATCATCATCATCATTCATTCATTCATTATTATTATTATTATTATTATTATTCCCATCGTTGAATCACCGAAATGATTTCATCTTTAAAACCTCTCGCCACTCGTTTTCGAATTTCTTCCTCTCTTTGACGTACTACATTCTCATACATATCAATTTTACGTTGAGAATCTTCCAACATTCCCACCGCTTTAACTAATCGTTGTTGAAGTATTTTAATCGTGTCATTGGGATCACTTGGTACTTTAGTAGGTGGTAAAAGTAATTCCGAAAAAGAAAAGTTATCGGCATCCTTATTATTCATATTTACTTCGGGTACCATACCACCCATATTAGCATTATTAATACTACTATTGTTGTTATTATTATTCGTTGAGGGATTATTATTATTGGAAGAATTATTAATGTTATTGTTTTGAGACCATGACCAACTTGACCCGGTAGGGGATTGTTGTCGATCGGAATGTTTTTTACCGTGTTTATTTTGAATTCGAAAACTATACACGGATGAAGTATCACCACTTTGCTTTCGCCTTGATGAAGGTGAAGATGAAGATAATAATGTGGCGGAAGAAGAAGTGGTGGTGGTTGAATTTGAATTGGAAGATGGAGTGGTGGTAGTAATAGAGGTGATATTATTATTATTGTTCTTATTATGAATTGTGGGAGAAGATGTAGAAGTTGATAAGAAAGAAGATTGACTATTAGTTAAATCACTTGCTGGTACTGAACTAGGACCTCCTCCTACCGAAATACTTCGCCATCGAAGTTGTGTATTGCCACCACCACCACCGCCACCACCACCACCAGTTGTATTACTTTGATTAGAAATTACACGAAAATGTCCAGTATCACTCATTCCGGTGGTAGTATGATGATGAAGTTTCATGTCGGGCATTGTGGTTGGGGAAGGGTTAGGAGTTGGAATGTGATGTGAAATGTTGTTATTTTTTGGTTTACCAATTTTCGGTATATTTTCTCGTGCAGAGGCAAACTGTAATATTAAAAAATAAAAAAAATAATAAAATAATTAATAAATATATATTGCGTTTTTTTTTTTTTTTATTGAATTAATATTTTAATAATAAAAATTTTTAATAACATAATATTATTCGTTTTACGCGTATTTATTATTTTATTTTATTTTTTTACCTGAACAACACTTTTCCTACGTAATGAACCAGAATTTTTTGTGGGAGTGGTTGGAGTATTTCTCGCTGTTGTTGATACATCATCGATTTGCATCAAATCAGCTGAATCGTCCCAAGCATCTCTTTCATCTTCATCAAGAAGATCATCGTCACTTCCTTCTTCCGAATAAGAAGTTGCGGAAGTTTTTACGCGTTTTCCACGATGTTTAGTAGATTTATGTTTATTACTTTTGTTATTGATATTATTATTATCATCATCAAGATCTAATTCGTCCTCTTCATCATCATCATCATTATGATGATTATTATTAATACCAGTATCAATACTACTACCAGTATTACGACGAGTATATTTCCTCTTTTGACGTTTACTACTGGCACGTTTAATTAATTTTAATACCAAATCAGTTTCATCCGAATCATCAGCTCCATTTGAAGGTTCCAGACCTGTAGGATTTTTATGAGGTTCATCGTAATATTCATTTGGTTTTGATAAGATAAAATCAAAAAATGCATCTATATGAATTGAACGCATCCATTTCTAATATTGATGATTCAATTATAAAATTAAAAAAATAAAATTAGTTAAAAATTTGGTTAATTTAAAATGGTTAAATAAATTGATAATATATAAATAGAATAAGAAATGAATAAATAAAATAAAATAAAATAAAATAAAATAAAAATAAAATGAAATAAAATAAAATAAAATAAAATAAAATAAAAATAAAAATAAAATGAAATGAAATGAAAAATGAATATTTAGTTTTAAAAAAATAAAATAAAACAAAATAAAATAAATGATGAATTAGAATGAACTTTACTAATTAAACTTAATTCAAAAGTTAATTAAGGTTCATTATTAAAGTAATTAAAGTAATTAAAGTTAATTGAACACAAAAGAAATAATAAATTGAAGAATAATAAATTATCAAACTATTTAACAGTAATTTTTCTTTTAGAAAAGTGAATGAATCCAAAAATATCTATTGAGAAAAATCAATAATAATAATAATAACTTGTTTCTATTCTAGATTGACCATTGTATTAAATTCGTGTAACTTTTGTGATTTCGGGATGTGTAACTTTTCTAGAATGATATAATAAATAATAATAATAATAATAATAATAATAATAATAATAATAATAATAATAAATAATGACCCCCTGCATCAATGGGCATGTATACAACATAATAATAAATAATAAATAATAAATAATAATAAACATTAATGTGATTAACGACATTAATAATAATTATTAATAATAAGTAAGTGAATGTTAATAATAATAATAATAATAATAATAAATAATAAAAGTGAAATATGATAATAATAAATAAAGTGAATAAAAAGTAATTGAAAAAATATGTAACTCGTTTTTTTTTAAAACACGGAGTTGTGCATATCAAATAATAATAATAATTATTATTTTTAAATGTTGTTTTTTTTTAAAAAAAAAAAAAAAAAGAAAAGAAATTTGGAATTAATTATTATTAAAATTAATTAGTTATTATTAATAAAAATTAATTATTAATAATAACTAATCATGAATCATCATAATTAATCATCATAACTAATCATAATTGAATGTGTAAAATAATAAATATAATAAATATAATAATAGTAATTTTTCAAAATAAGAATATTGTAAACAAATAATACACAAATAATACATTATATAAATATAATAATAATAATAATAAAAATAAAAAAATAACAAATATAAACAATAACAACAACAAAAAATAAAAATAAAATAATAATAATAAATAATAATAATAATAATAAAAAATAAGTAACGTATTTAAACATTATGTAATACCTTTAGTCTTACGGCATATTGTTGAATTTTTTGAGGACTTGATTCGTTAGTTCGTTCGACACCCAATTGTTGAGCCAATTTCGTCCAAGTTTTTATTTCTCCGGAATTATGTTTCGAAACCAATTGAAAGAGTACCCAAGTTTCAAAAGTTTTACCATCCGATTTTGGTACCGCGTTAAATGAACGGATCAATGAAGAAACATCTAAATCAGAAGGAGCCGAAGGATTACAATATAAAATAAATTCTAAATATCGATCCGCGATATTTTCTTGAGTTACATCTTTATAAGGTAAGTTACGTTGTGAATGATGTTGTTGATGTTGATGTTGTTGTTGTTGTGGTTGTTGGGAATGTTGTTGTTGTTGTTGAAGTAGATGTTGTTGTGAATGTTGCGTAATGGTTGGTGAAGTATTAGATATTGTTGACGAAGGAGAAGTAATAACCGGTATTATTGATCTACCAGTATTAAGTGTATTATTACCAGCATTACCAATTGTTGAAGGGATAACATTTGTATTGGTCGAAGAAGCAGCAGGAATCGATGTATCTTTGCTATCTATCTGCATATTAGTATCATTTGAAGTATTTGAAGTATTTGAATTATTTGAAATATTTGTAGTGGTAGTGGAAAGACCATTGTTAACAATAGTTTTAGTGGAATTTCTTGTTTTCCTTCTTAATACTGCTACAGCCGGTTTAATTGCTTTAGGGTGGGAACTTTTTTGTGAAACAGAAGAAGGATTTTCAGTATTGTTGTTATTGTCAATTGATGATGATGATAATAAAGAAGGAGTAGTAGAAGTATTAGTTGAAGACGACATCACTGAAGTTGAATTTGTTGTAGTATTGGGGTTATTGGGGTTGGAGTTAATAGTATTAGTAGTAGTAGTAGTAGTAGTAGTAGTAGGATTGGTAGGATTGGTGGGATTGGTGGTGGTAGTAGTGGCAGTGATAGCAGCGGCATTATTATTGTTGTTGTTATTGTTATTATTATTGCTACCGTTATTAGAAATAACATTTGCGCCACTTTCATTAAATAATGGAGATGATGATCCGGAATTCGTTATTGTATCTGTAACGGAAGTAGCGGTAACATCCGGATCATTATTAACGATATTATTTGAACTATTTACATTGTCAACGATATCATTTTTATTGTTTTCAATGACACCTTCCACTTGTCTTTGAACTTCCTTAGATGATAATTCAGAAGAAATATCTTTATTTATTGGATTTATTGTTGTTGATGATGATGTTGTTGGTGATGATGTTGATGTTGATGTTGTTGTTGATGATGTTGTTGTTGTTGTTGTTGATAATGTTGTTGGTGGTGGTGGTGTTGTTATTGTTGTTGTTGTTTGTACAGGATTTTGGTCAGTTGAGGTAGGCATTGAGGCATATGAGAATAACTAATTGATATACAGAAACGATTTAAAAAAAATTTTTTTTTTGGTATAAATAAATGATAATACGAAAAAACAATTCAAAATTTATGAATTATATAAATTATTCGAATTATTCGATTTATTGTATTTATGAATTTGTTGTATTTACGAATTGTTGTATAATTGTTTGTAATTGTATTTACGAATAATTATTAATTTATAATTATGGATGAAAGAAAAGAGAAAAATAAAAGGGGGAGGAAAAAAACCTGTAAATAACAAGCTGAGGAAAAAAAAAATTTTTTTTGACGTGATAGTGTAATAGATGTAAGCGCGAAATACAAGTATACAACAAAAAAAAAAATATTAAAAAAAAAAATATATATATAAAATATACAAATAGGGATAGATTAGAGATATATATTTTTTTTCGATGAAAAAGAATTTTACACAAACCCAAGAATTCAAAGAAATAATGATTATAATTCGATAATGTTCGATTAAATTCTACCTGATAAGTAATTTTTTATGGGGTAAAAAAAATCTTAAGTATAATGATAATAATAAAATTTTTACACACACACAAAGTTAAAGAGAAAAGGAGGAAGACGAGGATATTTTTTATAAAAAAAAAACAAAAAAAAAAAAGTAAAAAGATTATATATGAATCTTTTTTTGTGGTAGACAAACAGAGAGTTAAGAAGAAAAAAAATTAGGGTTAAGTATGTTATTATATATGAATTTGAAGATTTTGAAGATTTTGTACTAAGAGCTAAAAATTATTATTTTTGTAATGTTCCAAAAAATCATAATAATACAAGTATATATATATATATATATATATATATATATATATATGTATTATATATGTATTTATTTTTATTTATTTAATTTAATTGAACCGTACATTTTACTGTATAATAATAATTCATATTTATAATATTTATATTAATGATAATAAGAATAATCATAATAATAATAATAAAAATATAATAATTTAAATATTATTTATATAGATTTAGATATATAATATATTTATAATATATATACTGTAATTATATTTTAATTAATCTTTTATAAAATATTTTTATAAAAAAAACAATCATTATTTTCTATAATGTTCTGACCATAGAAATGATAAACCAAAAAAAAAAACGCCAAAGAAAACAAAAAAAAAAACTGACAAATTAGGCTATTTGTTGTTCATAAATATAAATAATAAAAATATATATTTATATATAAATAATAAAAATGTATATCGTTATAAAAATATATTATCATTTATTAATATTAGATAAGCGCTAACATTTTATTATTATTATTATTATTATTTTTTTACTTTCTACTAAAATTATTCAAATTATTAACTAACCAACCAACCAATATATATAACTAATACTAATAATATAATAATAATACTGACAACTTATTATTAACTACTATTAACTATTAAAAAATTATTAAAAATATTATTATTAAATTAATTTCTATCAATTATTATTACTATCAACTATAAGTAAATGTAGCTTAGTGTTTTTTTTAGAGGAAGGATTAACATAACATACATAATAATAATAATAATAATAATAATAATAATAATAACATGAAGGATAAAAATATATAAATATATTAATATATATAAAAAGATAACACAACACACACACATATATATATATAAAAGATACTCACAACACACACACAACACACGCACGCGCTCACACACATAAATAAAAATAAAATAGAAATAATATAAATAAATGAAGTAGACAAGTGTGGTAGTGGCGCTAGTGGATAATGCAAACAATGCACAATGTTGTCTCAAATGTCTCTCTCTTTTTTTTTTTCTTTTTCTTCTTCCAGAGAGAAAAATCAATATATTAATTTTTTTTTTTTTGAAATTTTGGTCATACGATTATTTATGATTATTATTATTATTATTATTAACTAATTAACGATTATTTTATTTATTATTTTTTATTATTATTTATTTATTTATTTATTTATTTATTTATTTATTACCACCATCGATTATGTCCTAGTATTTTATTATTAATGATATATCATCATTATACCGTCATCATTAAATCATATCTCTTATTATTCTTTACATTAATTATTCACCCCGAAGAGTTTTTTTAAAGGAAAAAAAAATCAACATAAAAAACGGTGATAGTATAGTAATAATGATAGTAACTATGATGATGATGATGATGATGATGATAATAAAATCAATTAATTCTAGTCTAACGTAACATTATTTATTATTTATTATTATTATTATTATTATTATTATTATTATTATTATATTTTGATTCTTATGATTATTAGAATAAATATAATAATAATAATTGTAATAATAAATATTATAATAGTAATTATTATGATCAATAAATAATCATAATCATAATCATAATAAGATTAAATATACTTAAATTCAACGCAATATGATGACATCTTTATTTCACAGAATTCCAAATTCAAATATTCAATATCCATTTTCTTTATAGTTTATTGTTCATTCATTGTTTTACCTCACACACATTTACTATATAAGAACTTTATACGAAACATATACACACTATACAGATAAATAAAGGTAAATCGTGTCACTATTATTTTTTTTTTGACTACCATTAAAGTGTAACGGTTCTTTCTAAATATATTATTATTATATAAGTCAATTATAGGTGTTACCACAACAATCATAATAATTAAATAATAATAAAAATAATAATAAAAATAATAATAAAATAAAATAAAAATAAAGGATAAAAATAATAATAATAAAAATAAAAATCATAAAAATAATAATAATAATAATAATAATAATAATAAAAATAATAATAATAATAATAATAATAATAATAATAATAATAATAATTAAAGACAATAATAAAAAAAAATAATAAAAAAAGATAATAAAGATAAAAATAATAATTATAATAATAACTTGCATTATGCCTTTGCCAAGTAAACAAAAATACAAACTCCTTTTCAATCGTTCCTCTTTAGGAACTAGGCAACTGTTTATCTAATATTTAGGTTTTCCTCAGCCACTAACCTTCAAAGTAACAAAAAAATGTTTCAGGATAAGAATAATGAGTGTAAGGATAAGAAATGAGGGGAAGTAAGATGTAACAACACAACATTGACCATCAAAAAAAATATAATAATGAATGAATGGAATAAAATTTGGTTGAATGATTTATTTATTACAACAATGAATAAATAATATAATGGAATAAATATAAATATAAATATAAGATAAATAATATAATATAATGGAGTAATATGATGATGATGAATGATGATGATGATGATGATGATAATGGGAGTAATATAAATAAATACACATTACATACATTACGTACATACATACATAAATATATGTATATAGTTTATTTTTGTACAAATCAGAATGCATATTACACGAATTACACGCAAAACTTCACGAACTTTATTAGCATAGTCTAGCATAGCATCATCATTATCATTGGTAATTGATGATTGTGGTAAATAATTAATAATATTAATTAGTAAACGAGAAGAAGTATATGTTACGTATTTTTGGTAAGTAATCAGAAGTATGCATTAGTATGTACTCATAGTAATAACCAACAGTTGTATTAATAAACGGAAGTAGTAGTTGTAATAATTGTTACTAAATAAATGATTTTTTTTTATACCATTTTAAGTTTTATTGACCTTCGCTTACTTGTTCAGATCCTATTGAAATTTTCTTGAGATAAAAATAAAATATCATATTTTACTAAATTTATGTTTACTTAATCCATTCTTCTGCAAAAAGTAAATCCATTCTAGAATAAATAATTATTGATTTACTGAAAATAGGTCAATTCTTTTTTTTTTTTTACTTATTATTATCTCCTTTTCTCTCTCTTTTTTCCTTCTCTATATTGCATATATATCTATATATTACTTTATATATATTTATTTTATTTCATTATTATCACTTTATTATTACTTTATTTTATTATTATTACTTTTGTTATTATTTTACTTTTTATTATTATTAACATTATTTATTTATTTATTACTTTATTATATTATTATTTTAACATGATTATTATAATTGTATATACATTATCATTATTAATCTCTCTATAACTTATCTCTTAATAAAAATAATAATAGAGCTAATTAAGAGATGATAGAAGTTGATAAATAATAATAATGATAAGATTTTACTTTTCCATTTATAGGACTTATTAACTTACCTACTTGGTTAACTGACATTTAAAACATTGTTATAATTATTATTTATAATTTTTTCTCCTTCCTCTATTAAACAATAACAATAGTGTAACTGTTTCATATTAATATTATTTCCATTTTAGTAATCATTAATTACCTGTCAATTTTGTCAAATTCATTTACTCATAAAAATAAACCAAATTAAAGTAATCACATCACATTATCACATTATTATTATTATTATTATTATTATAAATTATTAATTATTATTAATTAATTAATTATTAATTAATTATTTATTTATTTTATTATTTATTTATTTTTCACCCATTTACGCAACGTTATATCGTCACCATCACCTGCTATTCTTTATTTCTCATTTCTTTTTATCTTTTCTCATCGTCGTTATTGTTATTATTATTATTGTTGTTGTTGTTGTTGTTGTGATTTCTTAGACTTTGCGATGATTCTTGGCACTTATTCCAAAGATTTATATAGTTATATTATCTATTATAAAATAATCTCTTCATATCATTTTTCTATATAATTCATCTCATATATAATATATATAAAATTATAATTCATCACATTTTATTATTTCTTATTTTATTTATATTTTATTTATATAATTCATCTCATTTTTTTTATTTTATCTAATTCATTTTTATTTTAATTTATTTATTCACTTATAATACATATTTCATTTCTTTTATTTATTTTACTTTCAATATATTATAATTCAATAAAATAAAATGTCGCGTAACATGATTAGAAAGATAAAATTTTTTTTTTTTTTTAAAAAAAAAAAAAGTGGCGTACTTCGTGTCTTTGTAAAAATATTTCAAGTTGAGAGTATAGATGAGAATATTCAGATGTGAATATTCAGATGAGAGTTGATTATTATGTTGTCCAACCCATAAAAAACTCGCTCATTATAATTTCGTTATTGTCCTGTATTCTCTCGGTGCGGTGTCTTGTCTTTTGGCGTGTAATTTTTGATACATGTGTGTGAATTGTGTATTTTTGGCGTGTTTGGTGTGTGCGTGTGTGTATGCTTATGTGTATTCGGTTGGTTTTTTTTTTATTTTTCTTTTTTCCTTGCATATTGTCAAAAAAAGATTTTTCTTTTTTTCTTTCATTTACCAAATAACTTTCTTTTTTCAATTCGTATTCTAATAATAAGTATTATTCTTTGGTTCATCATCGTCTAATAATAAATTTATTATTATTAATCATTAAATCATCGTCATTTTTTTTTCCTTTCTTTCATTCATCTATAGTAATTAACATTTTCCTTTCTTTCATTTCAACGAATCATTTGATTTTTACTCGATTTGTTTTATTTACTTGATTTGATTTTTTGACGAGTAAGAATAATTTTAATTTGAATTTTAATTTAATTTAAAATTAATTATTTATTTTATCTATTTTATTTTTATATGTTGTTTATATGTAATTTATATATATGCTAATGTTTATTTATATGTTATTTATTTACTTATTGCATCAGATCAAAATATAATTAATGTATTGTAAAAAAAAATTGTTTTAATTATAATTGATGTAGTTAAAGGATCCAATAAAATATATAGCATATATAAAAAGTACATTAATGCTATTAATAATATTATTATCTTCTTCTTTTGATGTCACCATTAGAAATTATTAACTAATGGAGATGAACTATTTGAATCCTTGATCACTTGACTTTCTATATATTTATTATAGTTATTATTATAGTTATCATTTTATAGTTATTTATTATTATTTACTATTTTTATTATAGTTACTTTTATTATAAGTTATTATATTTTATAATTTGAATGAAAAAATATCAGCACGAGAATCACATGAAATTGTAATAATAATAAAAATTATATAAACAACATAAAAATAATATAAAAAGTATATAGAAATATATAAAAGGAAAGTAAATTATTAATCAAATACAAATACAAATACAAATACAAAAAAAAACCCAATAATAATAAATAAAAATAATAAAAAGTAATATTGGATAGTGATGATGAATTTTAACGTGACCAAACAAAAATTGTTGTTGTTGTTCCCTTGACCAAAAATGTGACACAAAGAAACACATTCGCTAAATAATAATAGATTTTATTTGTTTATTTCTTAAATTATGCATAATGAACTAATCAAATCGGTAGCTTCTCGTCTTCCCGTCTCCTCATCTTCTCATCTTCTCCTCATCTTCCCATTCGTCTACTCCCAAACTGAATTATACAAATTATATAAATTATACAGTTAGTGAAATGAAGATCTAAACAATCAGTTAATTGAAATAATAATCAAATAGTATTTTATCTTTCAAAAGAAACTTGTAAATAGATAAACTTTTTCTTTTTTTTTTTATTTAAAAAATTTAAACAATAATTACATTAGAAAAGAATTTTTTTTTTGTTTAGAAATAGAAAAACAAAAAAAAAAATTAGAATCAAAAGAAAAGAACTTTCTAGGAACAGCTATCTAGGAATTAGAAAAAAGAATATTTGAATCACATATATATAATTTTCGAAAATGTAAAAAAAACTCGTAAGCGAAAAATAAAAATGAAGATCATATATTTTTTTTTCTATATTATATATTCTATAAAATAGGAAAAAAAAATTTTAAAAAAAAAATATTAGTAAGAATTAGTAAAGGATTTAATAAACTTCTTTATGAAGCACCGTGATAAATTCTGGCGCAACATTCTGGAAATTTCACGTGCGTGTAAATGACATGTAAATACTTTAGTAATCTGGTATTCATGAAATGAACTTTTAACCAACGCGTGAAACCATCCACGTAAAAAAGAAAAAATAAAATTTAGGAATGGATTAACACGGAAAGATTAAGGATAAAAAAGAAACTATTAAAGATATTATTTTGCCATTAGTGATATCCAATTATAGAAATAAAAACATCGACGTTTGATCAACAATGATATGTACGACCGGTGTAACCAAAACTTTTGCGTAATTGTTTTTGTATGTATTACCTTAAATGTTTTGCAGAACAGATTTCCAAAAAAAAAAAAATTCTTAACTTTTTTTCTTTGTCTAAATTTTTAATGAATGAACCGTTCGGAAAAAATTTCTACATTCAGAGTTTCCGTGGTTTACATACGGAAAGGTGAAGATTATGAATTAATGATCACCATTTTAAAAAATTTTAAAAAAGTCACGACACAAAAAGCTTCAACTTTGAATAACAACAAGATATGGATAATGTTTATTTATTTATTTATTATGCAGATATGATGATCTCTTGTCACACCTTAAAACGTTCGTACAACTATTTTTGATGATGCAATAACCTCATTTTATTGATACGGGTTTTTGTGGCGTGAATTTTAAATCATTAGCCGATGCCTCGATTACCCAAGTGAGTGTACTTTATTAGTTTGTTTGTTTGTTAAAAATTACACCAAAATTCATAATATAATAAATATCAAAAGTCTCTAAAATATTTTGATCTTTGGTTAGGTATAAAAAAAAAAACTTATAATAATAAATAATAATAATTATAATTATGAATCACTAAAATCGCAAATCTAATAATAATAATAATAATAAATATGGATATTTGATAACATTTCATATTAATTTTTTATTGGATTATAAAGATACTTGGAAAGATCTACTTAAAAATATTACTATTTGTTTCATCTCAATGAGAGAAATCAAAAAAAATATCTTTGGTCAATATTAATCCAAATCAGTATGAAACAAATCATCATTTGCTCCCTCTTGGCGAGATCAAATCTAACAAACCTAAACCCAATCAGTAGTTGCCATCTTAAAATTATAACATTTGTAACTGATAAATATAATAATAATAATAATTTTATATCAAACAAACTTTAAAACATTCATAATATTGCATTACGCCCAATTAAAATTACTTTAATTATAGTCATTGTTTGTTAATATTACAATGAAATTTGAATAATTTGAATGAAATAATGAATCGACAATTTGGTTTTTATGACATTTTATTAAGTGTATACTAATTTTTATGTATCAACTATTTAATAACATTTTGTCAGTTTTTTTTTTTAAAAAAAGACCTTATAAGTTCAATTAAATGCTCCCCTAATGTTTAATGTTACGTTACTTGTTCACTATAATATTCTACCTCTGTGTGAACGTTTCAGACTCCCACGAAGGAAAGGTTAAAACCTCAAAAAAAAAAATTTTTTTTTTGAAATGTTTAAAATTGAAAAAACAAATATTACCAACCTTCTCAAATTTCCATACTTGTATCATATGATATATTCAATGACCGTATTTCTCATTAAAGTACAGAGTAGATGAAAATAAACATTAATAATTTAATATAAAACTTTAAATTGGCTGATGCAAGCAGAACAATGGTCAACAAACAACCGTAACCATTTGTCGCGTCGTGTACCCCTCATTCAAGCGCACCCGGCGAACTGGTTGTAGCCTATCCCAGGTCACCGTAGTTACTGTACTCGAACTCACCTGCATCAGCATATTGAGTTATACAGTGCGCCGCATTACTTACTTTTAAATTCATTCATTAAATTCATCGAGATATATATATTTTTTTTTCAACATTGCTTCTTATTTTTTCAAATTTCTGAAATAAAAAAAAAAAAAAAAATAGATTATTCTGCTTTATTCGAATGATGTTTTAGGTAACTCAGTAAAGCTCTAGTCTTCATATTTCTGGTAGTTCCTGTTTTTTCCATACGAGAGCAAGATAATGGTCGAATATTGTAATAAAAAAAATTTTTTTTTTGGATGCAGCACCTAGATTTATAGATGACATTAAATAGCGGAGACCATATTATATAATAATAAACACAATGTCACGTGTGCATTTAAGAAAAGACATTAGTTGCCTGACCTGAAACTTCATCTAATCATATATCCAAGAATACGATCTTATTAAATAAATAAATAAATAAAAATTATAAAAAAAAAATCTACAAATAAAAAATAATATGTTTATTTTAAAGAGACTACTAATCACTTGGATTAACATAACTATTCATGAATGGAAAAAAAAAGAAGATAGAATCAAATGAATATTATCATGAATTTGATTCTTTATACAATTCAAATAGAAAACGAAATCAATATATTGAAAAAAAAAATGTCAAAAAAACTATATAATATGTTTAAACGCTAGGTTTCCTCCTTTCAGTCTCGAGACGGCTATAAAGTAGATAAAGTGCCATTTGATTTGATTCTGGGGTTCCGGTAATAGTAACCAATCGTTCATTGGTATTTCCATGTGGTTCGGCGATTTTGATGTGTGAACCAGAAAGGTGTCTAATTTCGTTTATTTTACTACCTCCTTTTCCAATGATGCAACCAACCATATCATTAGGAATAAATATTTGTTGAGCTTGAGATCCTGGTGGAGGTTGATGATTAATAGGTCCTGGAGGTCCATGTAAGAATTCACGTCCATAAGGAGGACCGGGAGGAAGTCCGACATAAAATGGATGATTTCCTACTGGTGCTGCATGAGGATAAAGAATCCGTGGTTGGGGTCGATATTGAGTGATTCCAGTATTACGATCATTTTGATGTTTGGCGAGCTCCTCTCCCACATGAAATACTGCAATGTGAATAGAATCAGGAACACCGGTAATAGAAATCGTTCGTTCTGTGGATTGAGGAAGCATCTCTTCAGATGCAAGACATCTTGCACCGGATTTTTCTTGAATTTCTTTAATTTTAGAACCTCCCTTTCCAATAACGGGACCCATACGAGAATGAGGAACAAGTAGTCTGATTGTGGTGGACTTTGAATTTGGAGTAGAAGGTGTGTCTAAATTCTCATCCAAGACTTTCCGAGCAACCAAAGCGAAAGCCTATAATAAATTATTAATTAAAATATTAAATATTTTTAATCAACTATTTATTTTTTTTTTTAAATTAAAAATTTTTTTAAAATAATAAAAATCATAAAATCTCTAAAGTTCTTGGACGCAAATAATTAATGTAAATAAATTTAATAATAATAACAATAATAATAATAATAATAATAATAATAATAATAATCCAATTAATACCTTTGCAACAGTATCTAATGGTCCAGAAACAGTTAAAATTCTTTCGTATGCCCCTTGAACCATTTCTGATATGGTTACTTTAGCACCAGATCTATCTCGAATTTCAGAAACATTTTTTCCACCTTTTCCAATGATGACACCTGCTTCTTTAGTTGTGACAAGTGCACGCAGAGAAATAGTGGCAAGAGTAGATTCTGACTCAGCGTTTTTTTCCTTATCAACGGCGGCCGGAGAACGAACATTTACATCTAGCATAGCATCTGGGGATTCTGACGGTGAGACAGCTCTTTCTTCCACATGAGGTTCCCGATAGGATTCTTCTGCATTACCTTCTGAAGAGGCATCATCCTCTCCACCAGAATTGTTTAAGGCGGGACGTTTATACCTAGCTCTTCCTTCGTCAAAACTAAGGTCGTCTTCTTCGTCGTCAGAAGGAAGAGACCTCTTTCGTTCAGAGGGAGAAGGGTTAGGTTCTTCGTGGTCAGACATTAGGAGGAAAGGGATTCGGGGTTAGGTATAGGAAACTAAGAAACACTGAAAAAAGGAAAAGTGTTGGGGGGGTGAGTGTTAGGAGTGGGATAGTATGATTTGCATTGCAAAGGTACATTTTTTAAAATATTTTATTTTATTTTTTTCAGTGGCTTCAGTGTGCGTGTTTTAATTGTTTTAAAAGGCAAAAAAAGGAGACAACAAGCTGGAGAGGGACGGTACCAAAAAAAGCAGGTTACTGAAAAAAGGGATTTCGTAGAGTGGTGATTCCGTGCAGCTAACTAGATTTTTAATCTACTTGCAAGAAGAGCTCGTTGTTTGTGTAAGTGTTGTGAGTTATTGCGTTATTACCAAAGTTGCCTAATTTTTTCATTCTCAACTTTTGTCCGTCATTTTTTTTTATCTGACGATTTAATCACGTGATAAGTTTAAACCCATATCTGACAAAGGTATCGTTTTTGATAGATCTGTGGTTATCTTTTGATGCGACTAATATATATGCACTGTCACGTAATTTATAGAATAACAAAATCATGTGACCACCAAATAATCGATTGAAAATTTATGTATAACCATAGATCATCAAAAACGATACCTTAGCGTCACCTTCATAAAATTTCACGTGAACCCTTTTTGATCACCTGTCACATGATAACCAAGGTTAAGGATGCTCTTTATTAATACAGTAATATCAAATATTTATTTCTATACACTTTTTCTTTAAACATACAAGAACTCAATTTAATCAATCATGAGGTGTAATAAAACTATCAGAGAAACAATTGAATTATTTGAATTATTCTCTTCTCTTTCTTTTTTGCCAAAGAAAGTGGTTGTCAACTATTATTAGTTATCAAATATAATATTATTATAAAAAAAAAACCAGGAACGCCTGAGAAATTCAGTCTCAAAGATTATGATCAAGTTAATAGTCTTAATAATTTTCTTATTCCCTTATCATCTCAATCTCTCAGTAATTCAAATTAAATTAAATTAAACCGATATTTTATTTGATCTAAAGAATATAATTTCATCAAAGTAAAAAAAAATCTAATCTAAATAATCTAAAAAAAAAAGTGATATGATTTATAAGATTGGTTTGAATTAAAATGATTAAATTAAAAAAAATTTTAAAAAAAAATAGAATTTACCAAAAATCCCAGAAAATTTATCTATTTTAACCCTCCCGTGTATCCATAAATGTCTCATCTTTAATGGTATTAATTGATTCATCATCATTATTGTTGGTGCTATTTGACATTATTGAAAGTTCCGAGTACTTGTGACGTGCAATCCTTTTAGATTCGATTTTTTTTAATCATTTCATAATTAATAACTTTGGTAACATTTTTAATAGATTAAATTTTTTTAAAAAAAAAAAAAACCTTCTCTGTTCTAATATTTGTTTTTCTTCTTTTAAAATTTGTTCTTGTTCTACGGGTGTCAAATCTGCACCAGGTAACTCGCATAAAATTTGTTGACACCGTTGAAACTTTTCTTTGAGCTTTTTTATCTTTATTTTAATATATATATTATATAATTAAATAAATTATGTTACTTAAAAACAAAATTTCGAATTATCTATAATATAAAGAATTTAAAAAAATTATATATATTTAAATGGAATAATACCATAGTCTTTATTTCATTTTCATTTTTATCCGTTTCTACTGTTTCTACTTTATCAAGGATTTGCATAATATAAGGAAGAAATGAAAATTCTTCTCGAGGAAAACGATCAACTTGTATTGAGTCATCGGGAGTTGGAGGTTGTGAAGTTACAAAAGCACCCAATGTCGTTGTGAAAAGTGTGCTTTCTATTGACTCGTAAGATTGCATTGTTTTATTCTTATCAATTATCAATTACTATGGACTGTCGATCATATATAAAATTTGAAGATTACACAAGATAAGTTCGATCTAGCATTTGCTTAAACCGGACCGGAACGGACCGATGGTTCGACTTGGGTTTCAAGTCGTCAGTTCGATTTGACTTCAAGCCAGTCAATTTGCGGTTCAGCTTGACTCGAGTTGCTAAAGTCAATGGGACTGATTGGGTCGAACTATATCATATGTTATCTATATAAAACTTTCTTATTTTATAAGTAAATATTTAAAACGGTGCTAAGTAATCTCAAAGGTATAAAAAGTTGAGACTATGTCATCAAAATTGAGATAATAATTGATACAGTGGACCCCCTCTACAAGCACACCCCTCGGGACCATAGAAACAAAAAATAAAAGGTGTGATTATAACCATATAGAAGGATTTTTATATGGTATTACCAAGTATTGGTCCTCATGAAAGGTGTGCTTATAAGTGGGAATTTATATGATGTGATTGTACAGGGGGTGACTATTCCTTAAACCATTAAGCGGGCAAATTTGCCCACTTAAATTATTTTTGATCTGCTTTTGTGTAACTACAAAAGATTTTCATAAGCATATCCCCCCCTTTTTTATGCAAATATCTGAATGTGCTACATTGCCGATCGCCCAATGATTCTCTTCCCACAGTTCTTCTAACAAAAATTTAAAATTCCACCCTCCAAAAATAACTTCCGGGATTACGGAATTATGTCCTCTTCGACTAGACCGAACGCACTACCTTCAAGTTCAACTTTAAGTTCGTTTCCTCTCGAAAATACAGAAGTGCATGCCGTCGACGACGAAAAGTATATTCCACTCTTGACATCCTGCTAACGTTCTTTGAAAAATCTAGAATCAGACCTTGAGGATGAGGAAGAGGACACCACGAGTGTTCATAGAGGTAGACACAGAGCAATGGTACAACTACCACTACCTCCTCATAATTTTGATTATTTCATTCATCCGAGACCATTACATCGCATCTTTGTAAATTTGCCGTCACAATACGAGGCCAACTTTTCAAAACCAATCAACCTTTTCCTTCTTTTTTTTACGAACAATATTTTAGACACAATAGTTGCAAATAC